TTAGGCTGGACTACGGTGAGATCTTTTATTTCCTTATAATGTTGCAAATTCAGAAGTCAAGAGTGTCGGCTCATTTTATTTATGTGTTCGTTCATTCTATTTTCAGGTGTTTTTTGCAGAGTACATTGGGCCGCTTTTCACCTACCTCCTCTTTTATTTTCGAGTTCCCTACATTTACTCTCACAGATATGCCTTTACCTCCACCCCGCATCCTGTTGTCATGTAAGTATAAAAGGACATTTCAACAGTTGCAACATTTCTACCACTCCACGAGAGGCTTTGAGGCTTAACGCTATTTAAATATTTAACAGTGAACAAGCTTACAGGCGGGAGATTGATTTAAGATTATTCTTTATTGTCACTATACCAACATGGAGTAGTACAATAAAGCTCCTATACTGGCTGATGTGAGACCCATAGAGATAAAAAAAAACATGTTAAAAAAACAACTTTGCACTGAATAAGAGTTTGTGATATGCAGTAACTCAGAACACGCTCTGGAGCAGCTATAGAAGACAGTCACCAGCTCTTGCCTCAGATTGAGCCTTCTAGGTATTTTTAGGAAGTGGAGATGTTATTGGGCCTTTTCAATATGGCCAAGGTGTTAGAGCTCCATTGAAGATCTGCATCTCTCTGCACACCCAAGAACTTCAAACTAGCACCCTCTCCACATCCTCCCCACTGATGCTGATGGGCTGTAGGTCAAACTTCCTCCTCCTGAGGTACCAATCACCTATTTGGTCTTAGAGGTGTTAATGACCAAGTTGTTCTCACCCCACCAGCCTGGTGACCTTGCCTCTGTTTGCTTTCTTGTCACCACTAGAGATGAGTTCAACCATGGTGGTGTTGTCAGTGATCTTCACGACAGTATTGTCGGGGTAATTGGTATACAGTCATAGGTGTACAGTAGGGGACTAAGTGCTCAACCTGTGGTGAGCTAGTGTTAAGGTTGAGTGCTGTGGAGAGATGGGGCGGCCATTCTGACACTCTGAAACCCCTCAGAAAGAAAGTTTCTGCTTCTGCAGCAGGTGGTGGAAGCCAATGCCCGATAGCTGCATTATAGGTCCATTTTGCAGTATGGTCCTAAAAACAGACCTAACTCAACAAAGGGAAATCTTGCAAAACATCCATGGTATTCAAAGAAGGGTAGTGTCTTAACGTTGATGTGTTAGCTCTGTGTGCTACCTGCAGATGGTTATGTTGTGTATGGATGCAGAATATGACGAGATGTTGGACCAGTTAGTCAATACTCTTTGTTATGGTAGGTGTCAGAGCAACTTTTCAGTAGTGATTGAGGCTTTTGATGGTTCTCTTTATTGGCAGAGAGACACTTAGATTACTTGCAAGTTTTTTTGGGACCCTCACTGCCCTCAATGAGGCTGGACCTGCAGAAGCCCATTGTTAGAGCTAGGGTTGGGGTTAACCTAGAGTTAACCCTTAGGTCATAAGTCTTTACACTTCAGAGCAAGCGAAGAGGTGGTTCTGCTCCTCTCTTGGTGCATTCTTTCCTTAGGCCATCATGTTGTTGGTGATTTGTAGTTGGTGAGGTACTGGACGCCTTGCCACAACTGATTAGTGGTGTTATAGCTGAAGCAGTACAATGCAGTTCAGATGACTAACCACCCTCTTGTGAATTTGAACTTTCTTTATCAGAATCAGAATACTTTAATATTCTGAGTTATTCTGGCTTTTCTTTGTGGATCATTTGGACCCCTGGTTCATTCTTCTGGTGCACCTCCAATTTAAACGTTGCCGCAAAAATGTATTCCAAAGACATTGGAAAACACGAGAAGAATTTAACTGGTTACTGAACTCGTTTTTGCTCAAGAAAAAAACATTCATAGTTCTAGTTTCCTCTCCTTTTCAGACTGGCCTGTGCCTGTCATACCTTCCACTACATGAAGAGGCTGATGGAAACTATCTTTGTGCATCGTTTTTCCCATGGAACCATGCCTCTTAAGACAATTGTCAAGGTGAGGAGCATGACTTTATCTTTACAATGAATATTTTTCTATTTTCCTTTATCCTACTGTGGCTGTTAAGTATTTTGTTATCTCAAAGGACAGGTTTTAAGCATAAAGCACACCTTCATTGGAAGTCCCTCTGTAAATTACATTGTGCATCACTTTAGGATTCTGATGGGAAATAAATTAATCATAAAAAAAAAGATCTAATGAAAATTTAGGATTAGTAGATTAAAAAAGGATTATTGCTGATCAATATTCAGTGGGAAAAATACCTTGTGAACAGCATCACCTTGTCTATTTCTTGTTTCAGAATTGTCTCTATTACTGGAGTTTCTCAGCATGGCTGGCCTATTATATCAACCACCCTCTTTATACCCCTCCTTGTAAGTCAGTCTGAATAGACATATACAGATACTTTCTCTGTTTTATGTTTTTGTGAGGTATTAATGCATTCCTAAATCCCTTAATAAGACCAAAAACCTTTTACTTATTTACTTTTATCTCACACTTACCTCATACTTCAGGCATCATACGAACTGTTTACACATTTGGACATGTACTTTTATTTTTTACAGGACAATTTCAATGTGGAAACGCATGAGTCACACGATTGAAACAATAGATATAGCAACAATAGAGAAGTTGTCATTATTATCACATTTAAAGGTAATATCAATGGTAACTTTGGGGCCTTTTTTTGGCCTCGCCGATCAGTTTTGCTTCTGCCGGTCTCCTGCATATTGTATCATACACACACACAAATCTTTAATTTCATGGACTCCAAATAAATATGAAATGTAGTAATGGGAATCAAATTACCAATCATATATATTATTAGAAAAAAAAATCTGGTTCAAACCAACACTTAACTTCTACTTTCATTGTCTGTCGGGTCGTAATGCCAATGTAATGCCACTTCCTAACTCTCACAATAACCAGCATGTATGTTGGTCTCCTATTTGGCAGTCACAAATTCATCACCTTCCGTTCGTCTATGTGTCTCTGTACCTCACTGCAACCCATTACTTAGTATGTACACTTCAATGGTAGGCCAGGTTCTAATAGGCCAGAGAACTAAAGAAACAAGGTTCTAGAGAGAATGCAAAACACAGTGCAAGTAAAAGACACCACACAAGAATTTGAAGTTTTTCTTTAGTAACTAATTGAAAAGTTAGAAGTATTTACAATTACCCAAATGAACATTGGACCCTTTTAAAATTGAATTGGCCATCAAAAATTGAGAAGTAGTCCTTTAAATTCACCAAAGCGAAAAAATAGAGTTCCTTTCAAGTTGCGGTTCAAAAAGAAAAAGAGTTCCTTCCAAAATTAGCAAACATTAATCCCAGGTTCAGTATGTAACTCGTTAAGTCAAGTTAGTCATAGTCAACGCGATGTCACAAACTGGCCATAATCCTACCAGATATGCCATTGCAATGACATAGAACAGGTTCACACTGGAATGGGTAGTTTGCCATTAAATTAAGTTGATGATTCCTCACAGAATCCAGATCGAGCCCAAAAACTTGACCTGTGTAACCATACCCTTAGTTAAGATACACATACAGGCAAATGTTTGATGTCTATCATCAAACAGATTAAACTTAGTGGTTGTACAACATTCAAATCAATCATCTCAAAGTAAAAGCTATGCAACCCGCATACACTTCGTTCATACTGAAAAGCATTGTATACCATTCAGTTAAATAATCATTATCATGAGGACACGTTCAATCCTTTCACCTAGCATGCGTTGAGCAAAAGAAAATGTTCTCTCCCGCTCTCGTCAGCTCAACTGACTGGCGGCTCCACATTTACCTTACAAACGCATGTCAAAATAAAAGTACCTAATCGCAACTGTCACAGTGAAACTACTGCTACTTCAAATACATGTAAATTATATTTTTAACAATAACAACCCATCATTCATTACTTGTTTCATCAAAATTTCCACTATTCATTTTCCCATTTTACTGTTTATGCTTTTTATCAACTATTTATTGTACCGTTTTATTATGCATTTGTCAACTGGGTTACATTACTGATAAAGTAAAAATGATGACGTCTCTCTGTCTTTCTCTCTCACACACACACATTAACTCACACAGTCTATTTCTTCAACTTTTTTTTCCAACCATATCAATACCTTTTTTTCACAGCATATGGAGAGATACAAGTCAACTATGCTCTAGTTATATTTGCGGTATGTATACTGGTACTCACACTGGAGCAACATAAACTCAGACTCCTGATTTGGTCAATTCTGTTTTAGATATGTGAAATGGGTAACTTCTCCATTCACTTAAGTCTGAGTACTCGCAAAGGAGAAAGTGAGTTGGACTTTTTTTACTTTCATTGTTGATAGAGTAATGATGGGATAATCCTAGTAAAAGTCATTCATTTGCCCATAGATTAACCACTACAAAGGTTAATTGCATTTCTTGTTGATGTATCTTCCAAAAGGAAATAGGAAATATTAGTAAACTGTCTTATAAGTCTACTGTATTTGTTTGCTACTTTAAGATATGATGGCTCAGTAAAATATGCAGGAATTAACATATGTAAACCTTTTTTTTCTTTTTTTGTAATATCTCAGCATCCAAAGGCAAAAGGTTCCCTGTGCCAACTAATAACCCTTTCACGTGGTTGTTTTTCTTTGTGTCCTGTCCAAATTATACATATGAGGTAATATTCACTGCAATTTATGATGTGATTAGCAGGGATAAAACATGGTTGGTTATTTTTGTCTCACTTTGCTTTCACACTCACAAACCATGTAGGTTGGAGCTTGGGTGAGCTTTTCAATCATGACCCAGTGTCTGCCAGGTATATAAAGTCACCAAATATTCTTAACCAGCTAACCATGTCATCTTTATGAAGGTAGTGGAATAAGCTCATGTTTTATTTTTTTGTGTGTGTGTTTTGTCTGCAGCGGTGATATACACGTTGCTGGGGTTTATTCAGATGACTATCTGGGCTAAAGGAAAGCATAAAGCCTACATCAGAGAGTTTAAAGACTATCCTAAAATTCGAATGGCCATTATCCCCCTGATTCTTTGACAGGAATAGAATCAATAATGTGCCAATGTACTATATATGCAGCTTTAAAAATAGCAGGGAACCTTTAACCCTTTTAGATTTCAAGTTTGTGTTTAATTTTTATCCTATGTATTTTATTCGTATGACTTAAGCACTTAGATAGGTCTTGAGAGGTACTATCTGGACTTTGCTAATATTTGCATTTTTAAATTTAACTCCTTCAGAATTGCTTGAGGGTCGAGATGTTCAGAAGCCAAATTCAAAACAGTTTGAACTTCCTATTGCAGGTTGGCTAACGAGTTGACCAGTTTTCATATAAAGCGATAGGAGAATTATTCAGTGCAGAAGTAATTCAGTGAAAACAAAACTTTCTTTTCCTCATGATAAAGTGTCTATTAATGCAAACAAACATATTTCAAGTACATCCCATTCATGCTCTTGGGAGGAATGCAGATATAGTAAAAATGTATTCATCCAAGCTTGAAGCTTTTACCACCATTAGAGTTAAAATTATGCTGTAACCTCCGACATTATTGTGTAGATGCCTTCCCGAGGAGACGGTGATAACATCTGTGTTTCTGTGTTTGTCTAATATTACGTTTTGTTAAATTTACCCTCAGTTGTTGAATTTTTTTGTGGTAATGTTTATGTAAGCCATTACATCCCGAATAAAGGTGCACATCTTAAAGAAAACTTTAACTTTATTTCATGCTTCTCATATAAACATTACTTTTTTTGTCTTCTTGTAATAACATCAGGTGTTGTTGGAATGCAGAAAAATTGCCAGTTATTTGTACGATAAAGTGCAAAACACGTGCAAATCAAAATATAACATCGTTATGAAAAACCTTTTACAGCTGCAGAGGGGTTTTGTAATGATTATCAGCAGTATTACACTAGCATGTCGCCAAAAATGTTGGTAAAAAGTGTAATGCTTGTGATCAATAAAGTGCTTAACCTATGTTCCTCTGGGTGTTTTGACATGTTCAAAAAGGCAAAACCTTGCTTGGCATCTGAAGCAAAAAAAAAAAAAAGAGCTATGTCTTTTTACAACCTGATACTTAAACTTTTTTTTTTTTAATTTCCATGAACACAAATCATGGTAATTTTTATATTTCTAAATCTTTTCTTCTTCTTTTTTACAAGGCCTACAAGGTGAACAGAAGGTGGAACATAAATGCTGAACATTTGCAGTGTTACTACACGTCAAATCAAACCGAATAACTGCTTCTGCTTACATTACCATATATACAACACATGCAGCTGACCAAATGCCCTTCCTTAAAATGTGGATAAAAAATCTAAGCATTTTTTGCACCAACTTAAATCACTCGATTGCATGGATGATGCAGTCTCTGGATGAATTGTGATGGATTACTTTTTATATAAAAAGGTTGCTCTATTCTTCTTAAAGTAGTCCTCCAATGTGCAGACAAATTAATAGGCCATCAGAATGAGAACCAACAACTGCCGTCAGGCTCAGCTTTTTTACCTCACTTCCTTAAAGACTTGATGGGTGTGGTACCAGTATAACACTGTGCTCCAGCAGCTTTTGGATGCAATACTATGGCATCATCCTCTCTGGACTGCTGCTTGGCAAAATTCACAAACACCTGTAGGGGACATGCAAAGAAGCAAATGGATTACGTGGTAAATTTAATCTGGTTGATTCAAACAAAGTTCTTATTTAATTTACTGAGAGAGCATAAAACAGGGAAAGGACATATCAAACCCATAAAGTGGTTCAAATCTTGATAATTTAGTATGTTGCATTTTCCCATGTGTACTCACCTGGTCGAGAGTGGTCTGTGACACAGAGTAGTCCTCTATGTTAAGTTTGTCCTTGTTAGCCAGGACCATTTGAAATATCCTTGCCAGAGAGGAGGAGGAGATCTTGTACTGCAGAGTGTTGTAGTGTTTCTCTCTTTGAATGCAGCCTGGGAAAGTGCTCTCCATGAAGGCTTCAGCGGGATTTAGGTCTGGAGCACAGCCAGGCTTCGCTGCCCTAATCTTCATGGTTACCACATAGCCATCACCAAACCTGGATCAAAATAGAAATTTTCTGAGGATTTTTTTTACGTGGATATTCGGGATTTGTTTTTATCTATGACGTCATTAGGAATGTAAAATATAAACAAAAATGACGAACTTGTATTTGAGATGCTGAATAGTTCCCAGACACTTGAAGGATCCATTGACCATAATGGCTAGGCGAGTACACAGTGCCTCACATTCTTCCATACTGTTTGGATCAAATACATATGTATATCAATCATTTCGTTGTCTAATATTTATCTAAATGCAATTTTGATAATTTACCTGTGAGAGGTGAGGACCACAGCTCGTTTGTCCTGAATAACACTCATGATTGAGTTCCATAAGAAGCGTCTGGAGAGAGGGTCCATGCCTGTAGTTGGCTCATCCTAAAGTACAGCAATATAATTAGAGTTTTTGAATGAGGCAGTTAAAATCTGACCATTCTCGTGTAAAAGAATCACCCATCAACAGCAATATAATAGGGGTGGCCTCACCAGCAGCACCAGAGCAGGACAGCCTATCATTGCAATGGCAGTGGACAGTTTCCTCCTGTTACCACCACTGTAGGTTCCAGCGCTTCGCCCAGCATACTCTGACAGACCCAGCTTCTGGATGGCCCACTCTGATACCTGAGTATTAAACTAAATGTGTTACATGCTTCCATACGTAAAGGATAACAGCTGCTCTCAACATGTTACCAATGATATCAACCATTGAATCCTCAACCAAATTCTTTCAGCTATTCATTTCCACCATGAGAGCTACTCCTCACCTTACTGATCTCAGACTCTGGAACCCCACGGAGGCGAGCGTAAAGGTGTAGATGCTCTCTCCCTGTTAGCAGTTCATCTATGGCATCAAACTGGGGGCAGTAACCCATGTTCTGATGCACATCGAGGATGTTCGTCAAAATGCTGCCAGGAGAACATGGTGGCAGTACAGCAGAGCTTAAAAAAGAGTCCTGCGACATGTTTCAAACATGCACCTACCAAAGTCCACCTTTGAAGTGTCGTTTAATTCTGTTTATTGAGTCTTTTTCACAGAATGAGTATCACATTGTGTCTGTGTCTGAAATTTCAGATATGTATTGTTAAACATACTTGAGAACATTAGTTTTCCAATGTAATCATTCATCAAGTGCTTTTCATTGCCAAGCACCAACTATCTAACTTTATAGTGACATTCAGATCCATACGGATTTTATATTTTGAACCTGTAACCAGCTACTGTGGCTTCCCCTGATGTCACATCTATATCCCCGGTCAGCATCTTAAAAGTTGTGGTCTTTCCTGCTCCATTTACCCCCAGGAGGCCAAAGCACTAACAATGATGACGATGAGAGGGGAAAAAAAAACAGATAAAGTTCATAGTCATTCCCCTTTGCAATACATTTTTTTTTTTTTAATCTATTGAAGTAAAACTGAACCAACTTCTCCCGGTGACACTCCAACACAGATTCTGTCCACTGCAGGGATAATCGTTCCAGTGTAGGTCTGGCAAGAAAAGTAAACATCGAAATTAAACCAAAACAGCTGGCTTGAGAATCTTTTTTTTTTTTTTTACATTGTTTTTTTTTCATCATATCTAAAATAAAGAAAACAATGTCACACCTTGGACAGGTTCTTTATGCGCAAAATATCGTTTGTTTTTCCACTCTGGTGAATTCGCTTTCGTTCCTCAGCTACATCAAAATCTTCATCAAACATGTGAGGCTTGGGAGATTCCGGAATCCTTTGAATGGAAAAGTGACAATTTAGAAAATGAGTTTATGAGTTTGGGAAACAATCTCATCAGATATTAGATTATGTAATGCAGTCTCATTACACTTGCCAGTGGTGAAGGAAGAAGCGATACTGGAAGAGAATGTTGAGGATGAAATAAACTAATCCCTCAATAGCCATGCAGAACAAGTTCTTCCCAAGGAAGTCCCAGTTATAGGGGTCTGTACTGTAATCCTCACCTTAAGAGGAATAGAAAAAAGTATAGCTTTAAGTTATGCTTTTACATCTAATGTTCATGTACTATTAAGAACATCTATTTTAATAAGTCAAGCTATATTTCTTTATTATTATTATTATTATTATCATTTCAGCTGATTCAGTCTATAATTAAAAAAATATGATTATTTCTGCTTTGAAGTAGTTTGAACAGTCTGTTCTTGGCCAAGACAGATAAGATTGCATTGTCTTTTTTTTACATACCAAAACGATCATAAATATCCATCACAGCCTGGTTCATCGCCATGTCTATGAGACCTCTGCCCAAGCAGTAATGAGGAAAGATGAGCAGCATCATCTTTAACATCTGGTTAAACCTGTACAGAGCCTAGGGCAACAAATAAAATTAGTCTGAACCGATAGACAAGTTGAAGGCAAAATTTGGGCAAATTAGCTTCCTAAACTTACTGTGGTTCCTTCAAAGAGGTCCAGGATGAAGGTTATGGCACTGCTGTTGATGCCGATGAAAAGATTGATACACGACAGAGAGACATAGGCTGTGCTGGGGACACTGAATACGTAGGACATGGGATACATCATGGGTGTTACAGACCAGCTAAAATAAGAAAGAAAGATGAACAAGTTGAGGTTTCAAAATATATTACAAATTGCATCCTAACAGCCACCAATTAGGTGCTAATCTTGTTTTTTAATCCATATTAGTGATTTTTGCAGTATGTTGATTTCTGGGGCCGTTCCACATTTTTAGTGTATATATATATATAGCTAAATAAAAAGCAGGAGTTTCATTAGCAGTTAACTTAACTCAAGATTATCAAGAAATGACACCTTTTTGTCCCGCACTTTCTACAAGCTTTAATTTAAAGAATAGCCAAATATTTCCAATAAGTAACCCCCTTTAATTTGAGAAATTTTGGAAAGAAAATATTTTGAAGATAAAACATAGAACAATATATGTAATGTGTTCCTTCAGGTGTGGACAAATGTACTCTGGACAAATGTAGCACAATACTAAATAACATCAATAGACATACCATCCTTCCATTGCAGCTTATATTATTTTTATGTACAGAGCAGGATATATGCAAAGAAAATATATCGAAGCATTCTAACTAATAACTTTTGAAGTCGTCCAGTTGTGGCAGTGCTCCTGTATAATGATTTTAGTTGGAGAAAAATAGACTTAAACAATTTAAATGGTCAACTGAATTATTACAACTTACCCATACAGCATAAGCAGGGCAATAAGTGGTTGTAGGTTGGTGGGAGAGGTATAGCACTTCTTATCAAAAATGATGAAAATTTCCACCACCATAGCAGCACTGATGGAATAATTTACCTGCAATAAAGGAAAGTCAATTCCAGCCTCTGTTACAACAATCTTTGCTTCCCCTACATCATTCTGACATGCCAAGCATTGGCATGCTCTAAAAGCTAACAGAGCTGTTGTACCAGGTCCCACAAAAAGTTGGCTGTCCAGTACACCAGTGGACTGACACCACTGACAAACTGCAGGTGTTTGGCCTGAGTGACCCGCTCCTGGATGAGGTAGAGGACAAAGCTGGCGGGGACGAAGGACATGGCAAAAATCACACAAATAGCCACAACTACATCCACTGATGTGGTCAGACTGTGAAAAAGAAAGAAATGGGAAGTTTTCAGTCAGCTGTGGTCAAAGAAAAGTTAATCTTTTTGTATTTTTGCGGGAAATATTTGTGGAGATGATTTTTATGTGTTTTCAGCACAGCTAATGGACAGCATACAAGATAGAGGGTAAGGATTATCTGGCCTACAGTCACGCACACAGTGATTTCAGAGAGCTGTTCTTTGGTGAGGTTGAGAGGATGGTTGATGGCAGTGATTCCATATTCATCCAGGTTTGTTCCTTTGGGCAGATTTGCCCGAAGGATGGCGTTGTTGGCTACATTCATAAAAGATACCATTGCATGCCAGCCCTTATTGTTGTACCAGACCTGGGAAAAGCAGTCACATTAGAATAGAAGTCACATATAAAAGACACACCATGCTTTTAATGTAGAAAATCGTCTGTCCTCAATTTACCTTGACATTGTTTTGAGTCTCCATGAACTTGAGGAATGTACCTACATCATTCTGTGTTTGTTTGGAGTATTTACCCTGAAAGCAAAAGATTTGAAGGCCCATGTTTTTATTTTTTTTCAGCACATGCACAACAATGCTAAATATATAATATATACGGTAGATATCATACAGCTCTTACAAACTAAAGGAAACACAGTATTCTGCCTCAGAATCTCACCCCTGTAACATTGAGTAATCGTCCCAGCTGAGAAGCTACATCCTGAATTGTTTTTGGCTGTACAGCTAAAACTGGAAGCTGTCCTCCAACTGATATGCCACCATACCTGGACACCACAGAGAAAATTATTTTGACACCACAACAGAACTGTCAACCATGTAAGAGTACTACATCCATATGGTCACTAGTGGGAGCCCTGCACGACAACATAAACAAATATCCTTCCGCACGAAGCACTTCAAAATCAATATATGAGATCAGTATTCAGTCATATGTCTCAGTCTGTGTATTAGAGGGATGGGAAGCGGAAATTACCTTTGTTCATTCACCCAGTATTTGCTTTTCAAGCTGAAAATAGATCATACAAGAGGCTGAATTATTTCTTGCACTTTGCAATACATAAAGCAAAAAACAAAAACTTATTTTTAATCTAAAATGCTTTTTTTTTTTTCAATCTGTCTTTATATCTGAGTTTTTTAGCTTTAAATCACAACAACCCGGTTGTTTCAACCCCCGGTACACCATTAACACGCTGTACTGGATGTGCAGAATATTAATGCATTTCATCTTTTTTCACTGATTTTATCTTAACCGTCACAAAAATTCAGTACCTGGTTCTGATAAGTTTGGGATAGGTCTTCACCAGGTAGTCGGAGATGTTCCTACGAGTTAGGTCCATCAGGACATCGCCTGTTGACTGGATCCTCTGATGAGCACAACAAACAAAATGCGCATTTTAAATTAGATGCTCAGCTGGGACGGACTTAAACAAAGCATTTATGGGATTGAATAGTGTGAAAGTTATATGTTTATTCATGCATGGTTGGGTTATGTTCAGCATGAGTTTGTCAACCTACCTGCGGGGGTGGCAAGCCTCCAGCTCCTTCAGGGCAAACAGGGAGCATGGTTAGCTTTTTGGTTGTGCTGCACTGACATTCTGGGGATGGTCTGAGGGAGTCCCATTGTGGGCTCTCCAGCATTTCTATCAGGGCAGGGTTAACCAAGGGCATCTCCCACTCAGTGGTGATGTTGTTACATGGGAAATCTCTGGCAAATAAAAGAAGAATATAAACCATGCAATCAAATCAAAATGTTCCTACAGACTAAGCATTTTCATATGTACAGTCATTGTGAGGGTTATTTACTCCAGGGGCTCATCCAGCATGCAGCGAGTCCCAAAGCCAGGCTTGTCCAGCAGAACCTCACCAAAGTATCTCATCTGAGCATCCACTGGACGCTCATTGCTGCAACAGACAGATTAAGGAAGGGGATTACAAAACGCTGACATCTCTGCCTTCAATTGATTTAGGCCATTATTGCAAAAATCTTTTTCCCCATATTAAATAGATAAATGTTCCCCTCATAGCTCAAGGGTCCAACTTGTACCTGAAGAAGGTATATTGTCGCCCATACATCCAGGGGCTGAGTGGGAGACGTGGATACTCTCCAAAAGGTGGGACAATGAGTGTTAACATCAGTGCCAGGAAGACAAAGCTGGCAGGCAGAACAATCTAACAAAGACATAAATCCAATTTAGAAAACAGTCAAAAGATGCCATGCTCTTATGGAGACCTGCATGGACAAAAATTTGCAAACAACTTAATGCAAAAAACAAAACTTGTATTTCTTGATAAGAATGAGTTAGATATTCAGATTTCAATTTCAAATTCAAGCAGACCTAAATTTCTATTAAAGGCATATATTGTGACATTCAGATACATGCTGTAGCTTCGTTTTCACTTAGTTTAAATTATTAAAATGTGATCATTCATAGGAAGGTAACCTGGGCAATGAAGTCCTTGTAGGAACGTGTGGCGTGATGCAACCTCTTGATCATAAGAGCAAAGAACTGTTTGATGGTCAGATAGATGCCTCTGACCTGGTAGGATCCCCTGCCTTCACCGCCCTCTGAGCAATCACATGGGCCCTGTCCATTGGATTCTGGAAAGTGAACCCAAATTAAATTGACATATAGTAAGTTGGTGTCTAAAAGTTTCAATGAAGAAAAGCCAGCCAACTAACTGAGCTCTTTTTTTCTTAAAGCAATAACCAAAACATGTTTGCCTGAAACACTAAATGGATGAAAACTAAAACAATCATCCTTACATAATCCTGGACCCTGACAAAGCTGCTGAAAATCTAAACAGGAAGTGGTTGAAGCACTGCTCCCCTAAGCTCACTGCGCCATGCCGTTGTTAGGAAAAACACAACACCAAAGTGTACTTTTGGAAATAATTTTGTGAATGTGTTCATAGTTCCGAATTCCGAAATTGCCGAATGTTCAGTTACCTTAAATGGCCTTCATAAAACCTCTCAGCCATATGCTGATTAGTTTAGCAAGAACATCAAAAGCAGGGGCTAACAGTTTGCATAGCTAAAAACAAAAGGAAAAATGCAATAAAAAATCATTTCAAAACCATTTAATTACTAGGATTGAGATTTGAATGTAACTAATTTATGCTAACTGCACTCTGCTACTTCAATCCATGTGCTTGGAGATAAGAATTTTGCTTATAGTCAACCTTCAATTTTTTTTCCCTCACAAAGTGGACAATTAAATTTGTACAGATTGAAACTATGTTTGTCCCACAACAGCACCAGTGGTCCAGAGCTCCAAGCTGAAAGCCTCCATCACCTTTCAATGCCTCCACATCAACAGCCACTCTGTTGAATCCACAGACACTAACTCGAGAAATCTGCTGCAATGATTTATCTGACAGGGTTTAAGAATGGACACGGGGGACAGAACACACAAGATCAAGGGTAGATAAAGGAAGATGACAACAAGAGCTACAACAACACACTAGACATACGTACACAAACAGTGGATAAATAAGACAACAACAGGACAGTTCCCTGTTTTTTTACTTGTTTTTTTTTTCTTGTTTTTTTACCTTGAATACATTTCTTGTTGGCCGCATTTCCATCAGCAGTGACCTTAAGAAAGATCTGCAAAAAATTATATAGTTAATTCTATTATCAGGACCCAGGACTTTCATTAGTTCTTTCTTAACAAAGCCCATCCAAAACATAGTCTACCAATGAACGCACTTCCTTCTGTGCTTGCTGTCAATATTGCTTTATATTTCTCTTTTGTTTCCACCCACCTCCTCCAGTGATGTATCAGACACACCAAAGCTGCTGAGGCCAATGTCCAAAAGGGTTTCCTCCAGCTCCCTGAAAAGGCTAGCATAGGCCCTGGGCTTGAAGTTCCGGTTCGGCAGGAGAAATGTGAGCTCCTGGCCGATGGCCTCAATGAGACGGGCCTGCGGTACATGATGATGGACCAGTGCAGAGATGCTCTCCAAATTACCTGTTGATATTACATTTTTACATTGTTGGATATAAACTATTATCGGCAAAAACATTTATTTTTATTATGCTTTATCAACTTCCCTAAATTTAGCTCTTCTCTTTGACATACATTTCAAAGCGCACATTAAAATAGCAAACAGGCATTAAACAAATATGAAGGCCGTATCAAATATTCTATTAAGTTCCATTGGGCACAAAAAGACTGTGTGATATTTCCAGTTGCACCACCAAAAGGTGCAGTTAGTAAACTGACAATGATTCAGTGCAAAAGCTACATGGATAAACATGAAAAGAGCTAAATCTGAACATAAAAGGCACAAAAATAGAGATATTTATGAGCTTACCATCCATCTGTCTGCCTGGGGCTTGGCTCTCTTCCTGGTTTGCTTTGAAGTTTAAGCATTTTGAGCATTTGCAGGAACAATCCTGTGTGCAGTCACAGCTGGCCTGCTGGATGAAATGATACCACAAAAACAGATTTCAAATCTGTCGTTCATGGTTTGATGCTTTAAATGGTAGCCTTTTTACCCTTTCTAATTGTTGTGAAAGGTATTCAACCAAAACCTTGTTAGAATTGGATTATAATTACTCACTTTAGCATAGTATGCTATAACTTTATCCATGTAAATGACTAATTGTCTTATTCCTTTTTAGATTCATATTATTCCCTTTAGAATTCTACTTTTGTGTTAACCTCTCTGGCTGTGCCTACTCCCCCTCCTCCTCTTTCTGTTACAGCAGATACACGTCTTGAAGGTCAACATTCACACACACACTTTCTTAGCATATTTCACTGAAACCTGCATAAATTAATAGCCTCTGGCCTGTTCATGTCAGAGCAAACTGGCCAATAACATTCGGTTACGCCCAGCCGTCCTCCATTTCCGTGGCCCGGCCCAGAGGATAACTGCCCATCACACCAGGAAATCGGGTCTCTTGCCAACTGAGATCCTCCGGGAACTTTGTCTGTGAGTGCCCAGCGCTGATATACTTTGCATGTGACCAATAAATGTCATATTTGTACTCTTGATCTGCTCTGGTTTATTCTCAGGCTTCCAACTAAAGAACCAAATCTAACAACCTGGCCTATATTATCTTCTTCATACCTTGACAGTGTCATACTTCATTCGGCGTACAAGAGTGAGGTAGAATCCAGCACCAAAGCAGTTCTTCAAGAAAATGGGTGAACCGCAGCAGTAGAGGCGACCTTGGGAGATGATGGCCACCCTGTCACTAAGCAGGTCAGCCTCGTCCATGTGATGGGTGGACATGATCACTGTACGCCCTGCAAAAAAGGCATATTTGATGTTTCTGTTTAAAATGAATATTGCTTTATAAAGTCCATCGACATGTAAGTCTACTGTAAAAATATAGTCATCAAGTGTTTTTAAAAAGATTTTAGTGCAACTAAATTTGCAATAGCTCCACTTTGCATAAGATTATATATAAAGCATAAATCCAGTCACTGGATATGTTTTTTTTTTCATGTTGATTATAAATGTACCAGTGCTACCAGTGGCAAGTAATGCAAAAGTTTTGGTTTGGTGTTACCTGCACGGTATTTCAGCAGAAAGTCCCAAATTGACCGTCTAGAATATGGGTCCACCCCAGAGGTGGGTTCATCAAGGACCACAACCTTGGCCCCACCAACAAATGCCAGGGCAACTGACAACTTCCTCTGCATCCCACCTGGGTCAGAACACCATGAGGCCGTGTGATTGAAATTTGAAAAGCATCTGAGAGTGCACCTCCTTGTACACATACCTGAGAGATTCTGGGTCAGCTCATCTCTTTTGTGGGGAAGACCCAGATCCTCCAGCATGTTCTCCACCTCCTCCTCTGCTTCAGCTATTGGACGACCTTTCAGCAGCGAATAGAAGAGAATGTGCTCTGCTACAGTCATACTGAGAAAAGACAGGGGTAGAAGAAGGAAGCTGTGAAATTGTGCAAGCAGATTTAACCCTCATACGTCATAGTGGACATTTTTGCCCATTTAAGAAAATGTTCCCCTTCATCTGGCCATCATTTTGGCATATGGCACATTTCTTTCTAAGAAAGTTTCTGTTTTGATAGATTTTGGATTCAAACTTTTAGTCTTTGTAGGAGATCAAAACAAAACTTAGAAATAATATTCTGACATCAGTAAGGACAAAAATGTCCACTACCAAAAAACTGCTATAAAAACTGTTGTAAAACTATGTGTATTTGTTCTCAATGGAAAATATTCAGAAAATACTGCTGGATCTTTTTTGTACTCGGAGATAGTGGCAATATTAGTTGTTGCGTCACATCCAAATTGAATTTACTTTCCTGTCAAGTCCTTTATAAAAATAAAATACTGTACTATAGATCAACTTTTTGTCTGCTTTTTATGTAAAATCTTTTAATCACCATCAAAACCATCAAAATTGTATTAATAAGAGACTTTAATTCATCATTAGTTTTCTGTCGTATCAGATTTGAAACCTACTTTCACCTAATATAATTATGCAATTGGAGGTTTTATTTCTTACAAGTATTGTTGCATTTCTAATTTCCCAGTCAAATTAAAAATGTTGAAATTGTTGGCCATGATCAACATTAAAAGCCCCTGCACCAAAGTCTCAGCATTCCATTAGCTTTAGTGCTTTTGTTATTAAAACCTTGTTGGTTATACTGTAATGCACAGCCATGTGTGCACTGTTTAAAAAAAAAAAACTATTCCATTTAATGTGGAAAAGGTACATACTGCTGAAAAAGTATGTTGTGTTGAGGGCACATCCCCAAAGACATACGGATGCTGTCCATGTCCGTGCGGATGTCTTTTCCGTAAATACTGGCCGTACCCAGTGTGGGTGGGAACATGCCTGTCAAAATAGACCTGAGCAGAATAGAATAAGGACTCTCAAGATGTTTGAACTTGTTTTTCCATAGGCTTGCATGTATGGGTATCTGTGTGACATACATGATGGTGGTCTTCCCAGCTCCATTGTGACCCAGTAAAGCGGTAATCTGGCTCTCATAGAAGTTGATGCTGAGCCCATCGACTGCTGGTGTGGAGCAGCTGCCAAACACCTTTACCAGATTCTGGATAGAGACCCCTTTCACCAGATCTGTTGCCTCTGCCTCAAAGAATGACTGTTCTGTAGGTGGTGACAAAAAATGTACCTTTGTTGTCTGGAGTTAATGTTTAAAAAAAAGTTAGAATAGGGAAATCAGGTATGAAACCAGGTAAATTGAATGTCAAACGTAGCAAAGAAAAAGTTCCCATCACTTATTAACCCACCATAAAACTGAAGGGCAACCAGTGTGTGCTCCAAAATCGCAAGAGCAAGAGCAAATACACACAAGGACATTGAGTTCTCACACAATGAAGCTTGAATGGGATTTACAGTTCTTTACAGATGGATTGGATGATTTATAAACTGTGTTTAATCAAACAAAGTTTGAACCCTGAAGGTTTCTCCAGCATACCCCAAAGATTATTGATTGTTTGATCGGTTTACAATTTGGTTATGTGGAAGCCAACACATGTGAAAAATGATTTCTCATGCTTTGTTATTTCTGTCCAAATAATCCTATTTTTCTCTTTCTATAGGAAAGAGAGAAAGAATATGCTATCCATGTTTTTTTTTTTCTTTTTACAATTTAGTTTCCAAATCATGTAGATTTTTTTTAATCGCATTTCTTTCTTTAAAGATGATTAATCCTTCCAGTGTTTTTTATGATGCAGTTCTTTACCTGGATTTGGAAATGTAAACAATCCCCTTGTCGTTGAACTGAAAATTTGACCTCGCTGAAATAGTAAGCTATCTTTTCCACAACATGACCATCTGTCTCTCAACCTGGTTGTTTAAATAACAAAAAGCCCTAACCATTTTCCACTAGCTTATCAATCACTGTTGTGATTTTAATCTGTACTTTTCCAATGGGAAGACCTTTAATGTGTGTTTAGTAAAAACCCAGATGAGGATTTTTGTTTACCATTAGGGCTGTATTCTGTATTCGGGAACAATGTGTGGTAAACCACAAATATATTTAAGTAACAAATATACCTTCTTTCTCTTTGTCCATTTCATGTTCAGTCTGGTTTTCCTTGCCCAGTAAGTCACGCCGATCCTGGTGCTCACAAGAAGGGACATCCTTCTTCACATCGGCTTGCTTCTGATCAGCGTTTTCCTCCTCCTCTGCTTTTTTCTGTTGCTCTCCTTGCTCCTTGTTTGCCAGGTTATCAAAGCCTTTTTTATCCAGCTCCAATTTTCCTTGGGGTTTAAATAGGGTTTCAGTTGTTATAATACACAATCACAAATGTCTTACTAACCCGTCAAATATCATCACAAGTTTAATCAACAAAACCATAGAAAAAGGCTATCATGGAGAAAACAAAGACTTTCATGTACCTGAAGCTGGAGCAACAGTGTTGAACCAATAACAGGGCTGCAATGGGAAATACAATGGACGGCCAATCCCATATTGTCCTATGATGGCAAAAAAATACCCAGTAAATGAGCAATTATGCTTTTTTGTATCTTTTATAAGATGTAAGCAGATCCTCGATTTCATTCCAGCACACTGACCTGGAAAAACATTGTCCAGGTACCATGCCATAACAGCATAGAGCACCGTGTCCAAACCCATCATAAAAATTGAGGTGAGGAAGGAGAACTCATCTCCCTCCAGAGGGCTGGTCTGGATGTTGTCCCACTGCAGGCCCATACCCTGCTCTTCATACCGTGATAGATACTCTGTGCCAAAGCCAAACGCCACCTGCGACAGCAAGCTCTGAATGAGGAGACAACGATAGAATCAGATTTTTCACATATTTCCAGCCAGACTTTGAGCTTTTCAAAATCTTATCCTATGGATTAGTTCATACCAGGAATGAGTTACATTTTTTGTTGTTTTTTCCTTTGTTTTTTTTAAATAAATATTGTACTTTCCACAAGGATTTGATACACATTTAAAAAATAGCAGTTCAAAAGACTATAAATAAAACTGTCTAACCATGAATGAGCAAGCTTTTAATCCTAGACACCCACCACCAGGATCTTCATATCTTTGGTGATGCTGTCCTGCCAGGCGAAGCAGAAGATGTGAGGAAGGTAAAGGCTGAAGTAAACAATACCACAGCAGGCAGCTGCTAGGTTGGCCTGGTTGAAAAAGATGCTCATGAGGAAGCACTGCATGATGGTAGCCGTTGTGAAGGAGAGCAGAAAGAGAAAAAGGATGATGGGGTTGCTGTAGTTCAATACTCTTCCTCCCTGAAAATCAATAGAGAACAACATGTTCAAATATACACATCACATCAAAGTTTTTACATTGAGGAAAAGAGACATAAGGAAAAACTTTTTTTGTGTTGAATGTACAACACCCTATAAAAGAGAAATTAGGACAGTGTACAAAGTAAGTAATTAACACATCTAATAAACTCAAATGAGTTTCACAACATCAAATGAAAAAAACAGTTTCAGTGTAATGAGACATTTCGTGTAAATATGAGCTTATCTTTAGTCTGATATACAATGGTCCCTCATGTGACTTTTTATAGGAATAACCCCCACATTAGGTGAAAATCCACGAGTGACTACATATCTATTATGTTTTTATGTTTTATGTTTTCTGTTATGTTTTTTGTATTTTAAGGCCTTATAAAAAATTCACACACTAAACTCCTCCTACACTCTTCAAAACGTTATACTCTCTTAAACCTATGTGCCACAAAATCCCATGATAAATTAAAAAATAGATAGATATATGCACATGGACACTTTAAAAATCTGTGATATACGGACACCGTGAAGCATATGGGGAGGGACTATTTTATGTCAAAAGCTATATGTATGGTCCATTTTTATCACTGCATGGCATCCCCACTTCTTTTTAGTTCTTTTTCTTCTGTCACTCTACACAGGATGCATGATTTTCAAAAATAATTCCAATTCTAGTTGAGTTAATATCCATTTTCCATTTCCCCCAGTCCAACTTAAGAGTTGCCAGGGGGGCTGCAGCTTGAAACAATTACACATCAGGATGCTGGGAAGTATTTTTGAGAAATTTTGAAAAAGTCAACCTCAAAACTAAGACACAAACTGGAAGATGTCATGTGTGTTTTTAACCAATTGTCCACTGGAGGTCACTCTGGCTCACTTTTATACTCTTTAGAGCTGTGTGACCTGTAAATCATTGGCAAGTCCATGCTTGCAAATCCAGCAGAATCCTGCCACTCATATGATTCTCATGATGTCATTGTGTTTACAGTTATGTCATTAATCATTTACAGAGTAAATATCCACCTAGTCGATTCAGTTTTTTTTAAAAATGCAGTTTTAAAAGAAGACGACTGTAGTGATATCTTCGGATTGTTTTCTCACCATGATGATTGTAGTAAGGAGAGCTGTGCTGGTGCCCATCATGATAAAACTGTCAATAAACCATGTGGACCAAATTACCCCATTGGTCACTCCCTTGGCTTTCAGGGTCTCCTTCAAGCGGAGTTCCTTCTCAAGAACAATACTCTTCACTATCATGGACACGGAGTAAATCCAGGCCAAAACCATGAAGATGGGAAAACAGCGGTTCAGTGTCAGCATGAAGCTGGACAGTGGAGGAAGAGCACAAATATGATAAGGAGAAGGGGTTAGTAACTCATAGAGACAGAACAAGGAAGTAATGAGACACACATCCTTTACTACAATTTGGGGAAAAACCTAAAAGAAAGTCAGTAGGTTAAGGGAGTCAAGCGTTTTATCAGATTATCATGTTTAGACTCACAGATCATCCACATAACACGGGTAAGGCATCTGTTGTAGGTAAACCCCCAGAGGCCTCTCCTTCCCTGTATGAGTCTTGATGATCGCATGTTCTATGATGTCCTGAAGGTAAGCAAAGCCACCCCAAACATAACGGAGGTCATCCATAGGATCAGCTCTTGGGCCCGGATCCCAGTACCTAACAAATAGACACATACTTAACCTTTGTTTGTTGTATCGTCTCAATAAGTCATTTTCACTCAAGGTTGGGTCTAACCTGTCTTTGACTTTATTGGTGCGCTCCACGGCATCGATATCCATACGGATTTTGAACTTGACATGAGCTGGGACACTGGTTGTCCAAGAGTGCATGTTCACAAAGATGAGACCGGCCCAGAACTTGCCATCCTTCAACAAGTCCAAGGCCCGATAAGTGACATCATCCTCATCAGGAAGAGGCACAAATTTATCAAGGATCAAACACTGGCAAGGGTTGGAGTGAACAAGAGAGAGACCAACATGAAAAAACAATTGATAAATCATGCTCATGGCAAACTGTGTTGTAGTTGTGGAGATGTTTCATCCCACTTAAGTTTTTGACTGACTGTCAATATAATCTCTGAAGCCATCCCAGAAAACTCAAGAGAAGAAAATCTCAGAGAAACCAGTGCTGGACCAGAGTTTGACAGCCATTCACGCATTTTCAGAGGAGTCTGTGTCTGTTCTAGTCATTCACTCTTTGCTAATGCAAAAAAGAACAACCTTGAGGGTTGGGAGGGTACAGTCACCCTTCCACCAAAACCCTGAACATGTAAACACAATTTACGCAAGAAACAGGTCAGTGATCTAAAACACACTTCACCCTTTTTTAGCCGAACAGACCCATTGAACTATTAATATCTAAAAATGTTCCATTTCTTTGTTGAAGAGTTCCCTTATGAGAGGTGGTGGAGTGGAAAACATGCATGCCACCAACATGAGCCACACAGTCATTGTTGCCTCCTTATAAAAGCATAGAGGATGGAGTGACAGCTGTATCTAATCGGCCCAGAGTTGTTCCCACTCTTTTAGTCACATTCAAGTTTAAGCTTCAACTTGGACAAAAACAAAAAGCACCAACCACCAGGTACCCCCCCCCCCCCCCCCCCCCCCCCCCCCCCCCCCCCTCCC